TTTTTTTAAGTACAAGTACTCTTATTAAAGCCATTTGCAACGTCCTAAAATGAATTTCATTTGTATGAAAATTATTGGCAAAAATATGATAGAAGGACCCAAACTTGCACAAAATTCACAATTTCATACCCAAACTTCAATTATGCTCAATTAAGGTTCCAAACTACACAAAATTCTCAAATAAGGTCTCAATTAAATGAAATATTCTTTTGATGGACAAAATATTCTCTTGCAAGCAAATATCTTGGATGCTTGTTAACCATCCATCACTCTCTTAGCCAACTAGATCACCATGTGAAAAAACATATTAACTTATCATTGCCACGTGAATGTCAATAGGTGAGTCCCAATTAATTTTGAGGAAAATCAAGTTAAAAGAGAATCCTTATAACACGACGTGGTATCCATGTGACAATGACACATCAGCATGTTGTCCATATTGGCAATCTAGTTAGCTAAATAGTTAACGGCATCCAAGACATTTGATGGTAAGAGAAAATTTCCTTTAATTGAGATTTTATTTGAGAATTTCATATAGTTTGAGACCTTAATTGAGTGAAATTGAAGTTTAGGTTCAAAATTGAGAATTTTGTACAAGTTTGGGACTTATTTCCATATTTGTGCCAAAATTATTTTATCCCTATAAATACTTGAAAAGTGAAGGTAGTTCATAGATACAGTAATTGAACAGTACTCAAAGTAGTGCATGTCTAGTGTCCATCAAAACAAGCACGATCCATCCCCCTATTTTCAGAAAAAAAAAAAGAAGGAAAAAATCAAATCAAGCACGAGGCATGCCTCAAACAATGGCAAAATGTTACAAGAGAGGGAATATGTTTGCGCAGGGAATCAAAACATCATTGGTTAATCGCGCAGAGAATCAAAACATCGTTGGTTAATCGCCCAGAGAATCAAAACATGATTGCCCAGACAAGCACTAAAGGACGATAAGGTAAATAAGGATGTTAATTTTAATTTTTTTAAAAATTTTAAAGATATTAATTTTGTTAATTTTTAAATACAAATGTTAATTTTTAATTTTTTTATTTAAAAATATTAATTTTTAATTTTTTTATTTAAAAATTAATTAAATGATAATATTAATATGATAAATAAATTTTTTAATTAAAATATTAAAAGTTTAAAAATTAATATTTTTATTTTAAAACTAATAAAGTTAACATTTTTAAATAAAAAAATATAAAATTTACATTCTTACTTTCTTCATTAATCGGACGATAAAAGGGGTAAATAAGACAAGCTAAACAACAACAAAAATTAATATCGGTCACAAAATGACAAAACCATTTGCAGCGCCAAGACAGACAGCAAAAAGAGAAGTAAGGAAACAAAGCACTTAAATATTGGACTGAACTGTACCAAGGGAGTGATTAACTCATATCTTATCTTTTTATATCCATATATCAATGGCTTAATTTAATGAGAAGTTTATTAACTATAAGTTCAATATTAATTTAGTTTAGAAAGTTTAATTTTTTTCTAGATGATTTATAAATTTTGTGAAATATATCAAAATAATTTATTGTACAAAATTTTTATTAGTCTTAACAGAAAAATAAAAGAAATGGTTAACTTCATTTAAAGTGTAATAGTCCTTTAAATTTTGAGAAATTTTTTAAAATTTTGATATTAGAGCCAAAAAAATGTTAATGTTATTAATAAGAGAATCAAAAAAATTATTAAGATTTTGTGAAGATCAAAAATATTTTATCTTAAAAAGAATAAGAATAGAGGAAGAAATACCATATAGAACTGAAAACATATCTGTATGGTACAAACATCTGAGTTAAAAAGGGGGTGATTTAGCATTTTGAGCTAAGAGCTACAACCTGAAAAGGAAAAGAGCTAGTTTTCTAACAAAATTAATTTCAAGAATTACAAAGTTATTAAAGATATAGTTGAGGTTTAATTTGAAAAAGTTAACTGTTAAGTTAATGAATTAGATCCAACTAACATGAATATAAAAGATAATAAATAAAATTGGAATAAATACAAAAGTTATTATACAATTTGTTAAATTAAGTGATATAAAAATATATAAAATTGCTATAATAATTAAAATTTTTAAAAAAAATTTAAATAAATACTCAATAGACTTCAAAAAAATTAATAAATGCTCAATAAATATCTAATGTGTTTTTTAAAAATTACCAACTAAAGAGTACTTCAAATCTAACATGAGGGTTGGGAACCACTCATTAAGAAATTAATATAAAACAAGAAATTAATTCAGTTATAATTATATAATAGGGGTGTGTGATTCATAGATTAGTAAGTATAGATGGGGGGCTATACCACATATTTGCTCTCGTCCTTTTTTTTATTTTTTTATTTGTCTCATTAACTATAATTATAAAAAATATATACATCAGTCTTATTTTTTAAAAATTAAAAGAAAAATTACTTCCAAACCATTTTTAAAAGATAAGATAAATAATTACTAATCTTTTCAAAAAAATATAAAATAACTAATGAATAATTACCAATCACTAAGCTTTTTGGAATGTTGATGTTTAACAAATTAATAACTCTTGGGGTACCCAAAAAAATTCATGAAATAATTATAATTAAGTACTACTCTCTCTATTTCAAAATATAAGACTTTATTTATTAATATTTTTTACAAACCCTTTCTTAACATAACACATTATCCAAAAATGTGGGGATAAAGTTGGAAAAGAAGAACTAATGATGCATTGGTTTTCTCAAAACTCGTCAAGTAACTTGAAACAAAATTTCTTCTCTAAAATGTTATCTATTTTGAAACAGATGGAGTGTAATTCAACTTTAATACAAAATTAAAAACTCTAATTATATTAAAAATATTTTTTATGTTAACTACTACAATTCAATCTTAAATAACACTCAATATCTTATTCACAAAAAATGAAATCTTCTTATTCTACACTACTTGTTAACTTATATAGCCTTCATCCGCCCTTTCTATTCCACTTAGCTTTCTTTGTTTTATTGATCTCGGCACTTTTATTGCTTTTAGCAATTTCAAAATTTTCTTTTGTTTTGTTTATTTGATTGCAATCGACCCTAATTCCCACACCTTTAATAAGTTGATTAAAAAGACAAATTTATCTTAGAATCGTATTACATCTTCATCATATATGAAATGTGGTTCTTTATCAATATATATATATATATATATGAAATGTAGTTGCTCCAAGAAAGGATGAGCTAACAAATCATTTTAGTGCAGCTGGTATTGATATCAATAAGTATGCTTTATGTTTTTTTATTAGTTCAATATTTTTTTTGAAACGCTTATCAGTTCAATATTTTCATAAAAGAACTAAAGAATGGAAAGTAATTAATAAAGAATTGTGTGGGGAGAAACAAAAATTGTAATAATGTACTAAAACATGATTAAGTGACACTTGATTTATAATAAGATACTAATTAAAAAATAACACATGCACTCATGGTCTAAATTTTTAGATATATATTTTATAGAAATTTATCTTTATTTTTTTAAAATAAAAAGATTAAATTTGTTCGCTTAAATTAATCTTTTCTCATATCTACC